ATCTCTCCCCATATCTCCCCATATCTCCCCAGGCGCAGATTGCGTCGAGGGTCCTGGGCGAGAAGCGGGACATATCTCCCCATATCTCCCCATATCTCCCCAGGCGCAGATTGCGTCGAGGCTGCTGGGCGAGAAGCGGGACATATCTCCCCATATCTCCCCATATCTCCCCAGGCGCAGATTGCGTCGAGGCTGCTGGGCGAGAAGCGGGACATATCTCCCCATATCTCCCCATATCTCCCCAGGCGCAGATTGCGTCGAGGCTGCTGGGCGAGAAGCGGGACGAGCGCGAGACGCTGGAGAAGGCGCTGCTAGCCCTGACCCTGACCGTGACCCTGACCCTGACCCTGACCCTGACTCTGACCCTAACCCTGACCCTGACCCTGACCCTAACCCTGACGCTAATCCTGACCCTAACCCTGACCCTAACCCTAACCCTAACCCTAACCCTGACCCTGACCCTGACCCTGACCCTGACCCTGACCCTGACCCTGACCCTGACCCTGACCCTGACCCTGACCCTGACCCTGACCCTGACCCTACCCCAAGGCGCTGGCCGACGCGGACCCGCGCTTCAGCCGCGAGGGCTTCGACTTTGAGAAGCTGGTCGAGGATGCAAAGAAGGGCCTGGAGGACGTCCAGGCGGAGGCGACCGAGGGCGCGTCGATGGGCAACACGGTCGAGAAGTGCCTCGCCTTCTCGCAGCGCACCAAAAAGTGCCGCGTCTGCGCGCAGCCCTGCGACGATGCGGCGCTGCGGAGCATCGAGACCTTCCTCAAGCTGTGAACGGCGCCTCTTCACAGCTCGAGCTGTGCACAGGCGCTGCGGAGCATCGAGACCTTCCTCAAGCGTACTCGGGACGCGGCCAGCTCGGGGGCAGAGGTGCAAGGCGGGAAGCTGCGCGAGGCGGAGAGGGAGATGGAGCGCGCGCAGCGCTCCGCCGAGAACGCCAAGAAGGTCCGCACGCTCGGGCGCTCCGAGATCCCCGCGCTGACAGACAAGGCGGGCGCGGGCAGGGAGGAGGGCCTCTCCTAGACCTTTCCTGGACCGTTCCTGGAGCCTTCCTGCAGGCGGGCGCGGACAGGGAGGCGCTGCGGTCGCAGCAGGCGCGGCTGGACGAGCTGCGCGCCGAGCGGGATAGCCTCAAGAAGGCGGAGCAGGAGGTGCTCGATCTGCGCGTCGACGTGGCGCAGCTCAAGCAGCTGCACGACGAGAAGGCCAAGCTGGACGAGGCGCGTCTCCCCTACCCCCACGGTACCCGAACCCACCCTCCCCTACCCCACGGTACCCGAACCCACCCTCCCCTACTCCAAGGTACCCGAACCCACCCTCCCCTACCCCACGGTACCATAACCCACCCTCCCCTACCCCACGGTACCCGAACCCACACTCCCCTACCCCACGGTACCCGAACCCCCCCTCCCCTACCCCGCGGTACCCGAACCCACCCTCCAGGACGTCGCCGCGGCCACCTCGTCGGCGGTCTCGACGGCATACGGCATGGCGCGGGCCAAGGAGGAGATCAAGGCCGAGCTCGACGAGACGCGCGACGCGCTCGACAAGGCGGAGAAGAGACCCTCCCACCCTCCCCTACCCCCACGGTACCCGAACCCACCCTCCCCTACCCCGCTCGACAAGGCGGAGAAGCCTCATCCCCTACCCCCACGGTACCCGAACCCACCCGCCCGCCCCCTCGACAAGGCGGAGAAGCGGCTCGAGGCGCTCGAGAAGAACTACTCCCGGCGCGTCGCCGAGCGCGACGATGCGCTGCGCCGAAAGTCGGCCAAGGAGGTCCTCTCTCCCCATCTCTCGCCATCTCTCCCCACATCTCCGCCGCCTGGTCAAGCGCCGACTAGCGCATGAGGAGCTCGCAGTCCACTGTTCACTCGCTCTCGCGCTCCGCCGCATCCCATCTCTCCCCATCTCTCCCCAGATCTCCCCATCTCTCCCCAGATCTCACCACAACGCCCAGGGAACCGATAGGGCCCGGCTGAGCTTACCCAGAGAACGGCGTTCTCACCCACCTCTCCCCATCTCTCCCCATCTCTCCCCATCTCTCCCCATCTCTCCCCATCTCTCCCCATCTCTCACCACAAGCGAGCGCTAGTGCACGCCCAGGGAACCGATAGGGCCCGGCTGAGCTTACCCATAGAACGGCGTTCTCACCCATCTCTCCCCCTCCCTCCCCCTCTCTCCCCCTCTCTCAGGTCGAGTTTGCGAAGCTCGAGACGGAGGTGTCCAAGAAGCAGGCGGCGCAGGAGCAGCTGGAGGAGCTCTCCGCCAAGCAGGCGGCCCTCAAGCGCGACAACGCCTCTCCTAGACCTTTCCCGGAACGCTCCTGGACCCCTCCTGGAAGCAGGCGGCCCTCAAGCGCGACAACGCCTCTCCTAGACCTTTCCCGGAACGCTCCTGGACCCCTCCTGGAAGCAGGCGGCCCTCAAGCGCGAGGCGGACGAGATCGGGCGCAACGATGCGCCGATGCGCGAGAAGGAGCGCACGCTCTCGGCCGATTTGGACCGGTCGCGCGCCGCGGAGCGCAGCGAGGTGGCCGCCGCCGCCGGCGGGCGAGAGTCCCTTCCGAGACACTTCCGAGACGCGTCCACGACGCGTCCACGACACGCCCCAGGTTGCCGCCGCCGACGAGCGAGTCACCGGCTGCCAGCGTGACACGTCGAGGCTGAGCGAGCTCGCCTCGCGACCTCCCTATCTCCCCAGATCTCGTCACACCTCCTCCTCTCTCAGGCTGAGCGAGCTCGCCTCGCGGCTGCGCGAGCAGCGCGGGCAGCGGCTGGAGGAGACGTATCACCGCGCGAGCGAGACGTTTGCCGAGGCGACCAAGCCTCTCTCTCTCTCTCTCTCTCTCTCTCTCTCTCTCTCTCTCTCTCTCTCTCTCTCTCTCTCTCTCTCTCTCTCTCTCTCTCTCTCTCTCTCTCTCTCTCTCTCCCTCTCTCTCTCTCTCTCTCTCTCTCTCTCCCTCTCTCTCTCTCTCTCCCTCCCTCCCTCTCTCACCCTCTCCCTCTCACTCTCCCTCCCTCCCCCCCCTCTCCCTCCCTCCAGGCGACCAAGCGGCTCGACGAGGAGAAGGCGAGCGCAAAGGCCAAGGCGAAGGAGCTCGAGGAGACGCGCCGCCAGCCAGGAGGGGAAACAGAAGCACAGGATTGCGCCTCCCGAGCCGCGTGGTTTTCTTTTCGATAGGAGACGCGCCACCAGCAGGCCTCCAAGGAGAAGCTGCAATCCGAGGTGCGCGCCTCGAGAGACAGCCGAGATCTGCCCCCCTCCCCCCCCC